TACAGAGCAGCGGTGAAGCCAACGTCCAGCTGTGCAGATGAGTAGCTGAATGGTGTCTGTGGATTTAAGATATTAGGCAGAAAAGATCCAGGTAATTAACATATATCTATATGCAACTGCCTGAATGAAGGTTGGTACTGGAGTTATAGGTGCTGGGGAAGGCAGTACAATGGTCTTGTGCCTGATAATCATGAAAGAAGGTAGGTGAAGTAGGGAAAAGAGTAAACTTAGGTTTAAGTTGCCATTGAGCTGGCAGCTGAGCATCTATGAAGAGATCAATAAGAGTTTGCATGGGAGGCGTGTCTCATGAGCAGAAGTTGATCCGAGAGTGATGGGGACAGAGAAAGAAGCTGAATTTGTCTTCTGAGTAGATGCAGAAGAGAGAAAAGTGTTGTCATGGTCTGAACCTCACAGATGGCTGGGCAGTGCTGGAGGGGTTGCAAAGGCTGTCCTTCAAATGAAAAGCAGAGACATGGAGCATTTGAATCCAAGAAGCATGAAGAAGGATGGGAACCACTGGGTTTGTTTGTTTGGGATAAACTATTCTAAGAATTTAAGATACTGAGCATGGCTGTATTTTTATGGGGGAGTGAAAGGGAGACTACAAGGGAGAAGGGTAGGAGTATGGCACGATGCCAATCAGGAAAAAAGTTTGAGGAAGAAGGTAGGAATTTGTGTCTCTGATGGGGTTCCTATGAAGAGCAAATAGAAGAGAGGCTGTCTTGCTCTTGTGACTGTCTCTTGGAAGAAATAGCAAGAGGTGAGCAGAGGACTGAGTGGAACACAAAATCCCATGCTTCCCACCAGCTTGATCATTGGGATGGAGCAGAGTTGCTTTGGGGCAGGCGGTTGAAGGGAGAAGAGAGAACTTGTTGCATCTGCTTGGTTGGTGGCATCTTGCCTAGCGACAGCCGCAGTGAGACTGGGAGCAGAGCAGGAGAGCCCTGGGTGAGGTGGAGAAGGCATGGCTGCGGGAGAAAGAGGGAACCGAGAAACACAGATGTGAATGTGACAGCAGAGCTCTCAAGTCCCAGAAGTCAGCCAGCACAAAACCATTTACATTCAGCCTTCCCTGCTTCTCTATCGTGGCCTCTGTTCCATCTCACTGATAAAGGCAGCCCTGGTCAGGTCTTCCCCATTTTGAAAATCTCGCAGGTAAGCAGAAATTTTAGTTTATGCAAGGATGAAAAAGTGGTTTGTGGGTTGTTTTTTTGTTTTTGTTTTTTGTTTTTTTTTTTTTTCCCTTTCTGTACCTGATATTTACTTCAGGGGAGAAGTAGGTGGCTAACGTAATTCATGTTTATTGCTAAATGTTGCTCTTTGATGTTTTCTTATTACAAGAGGCTGAACTCAAAGCCAGCAATAAGCTAGAGGGATGGCACCTCATAAACATAGGGCTTCATTTTTGACCCTGTAAACTTTTTGAAACTTAAAATTTAAAGAAAAAAAAAAAGTTGGTCTCTTTTGCTTGCAAATAACACTTCCATTTCATTTCACAAAATAGCAGCCCTCCATGTAAACAAACAAACCTCAAAATCCTGTGCCCTCCTCTCCTCTGACCTCTGGTCCCCCCTAACAAGAAGAAAAAAAAAAAAAAAAAAAGCAGTTGGTTGCTCTTGGTCAGCCTGTGTAAGTTTTGATGAGCTGGCTATGCCTTTTCTTTAACACAACTTTTATCAGAACACTTTTTTTTTTTTTCTGATTTTTCTTTGTGTCTGTTTTTGCTCAGCGTTCCTGCTTGACGTATAGGATTTTGCTGGGTGCTTGCTGCAGACAGCAAATATAGTGGCTGGCTAATACTTTGGAGGATCTTAGGACAGAGCTTATTCTTTGTGAAACAAAACGTGTGGTTCTTCCTAAGTTTTCTTCAGTCATAATTAGCTCAGTCAGACTAAATTCTTTTAAGTTCCCTCGGACCCTCTTGTCCTCTGACTTCTGTGGTAATAGATGCAGTATTGGCATTAGATAAATAGGTCAGAATAATTTACTTCATTATGGAAAACTAATCTGCTTGTTAAAATTGTTAGTTTATCAAACAGTGTAATACAGTATTGTTCTGGCAGAGACTGCTGGCAGACACCAGTCCTTGTGTCTCTTTCTGTAGAGGGATATACTAAAGATGAACTTTGCTTGTAGCTTAGGAAAGCAGATAGTCATCTTGGGTATCTGTGAAGCCCTCAGAATTTGTAGTTTCTGGAAGATACGTGGTGGATGTTATCTTGAAATCCCGGCTGAATACAATGCAGAGCACCCAGTCTCTGAGCTGTACTGCAAAACCTATTATTACTGCGATACTCTCTATCAGCCTCATCAGGGAAGATGAATGAACGGTCACTGCTGACGCATTTTCTTCCCCCTCTTCTGAAAAGACCCGTTGACAATGGTTGCTGCCTGTGTACACACACGGCGTGAATTAATCAGATAAACTACTACTACAGTAGTACTAACCTTTAAACAACAGAATGCCATCTGCGTTATCTGCTCAAGTGTCTTTTTGGAGAGACTCTTCCCTACTCCCCTCCGCAGAAGCGCCTTCCAGCTCCCTTGCCTTACAGGGCTGCATCACGCAAAAAGAGGAAGCGAAATCACTTCCGTTGTTTATCGTTCTCCCATTCTTCGATGAGGGAAATTGTCCCTTGGGCTTTCTCTGAGGCCGAACGTGTGAATGAGTTCATTTGACTACACGGCTTTTGCATCGGCCCTCGGCGCCCCAGGTCTGCAATTGCATCCCTGTGGGTGGCCTGTTCCCCGCCTGTCACGCTCCACCGATACAGTCGACCCTAGCGTGCCCACAAGGGTTAGGCTGGGAGGCATGGCCCTTCCACTGGCTGTCCTCCTCTCACTGGGAGCTTGTGCTGAACTTTGGGTCATACCAACATGTAAATAACCGTCCTTGCCTCTTTTCTCTCTCCTTTCCCATGTCGCTTTCCTGCGGAGTGCGATGTCCCTGCGTGGGAGCTGGCCTGTGCCTCAATGCCTGTGTTAGGCGGAGCAGGACCGATGGGCTCTCCTGGGGCAGGTATCCGGCTGGCTGTGTAGGACAGGTGTTGTACTGGCTGGAGCAAGACTGCACAGCATCCGCTTCCTTGCAAGTACCATGCACGCTAATGGTCCTGAACAAGTTGCCTGTCCAGTAAACAAGTGGTTGCTGGGATTGGCATCCAAATACTCTGGCTTGGTGCCTTTTCCGCTAAAGGAATTCTTTGTTCCTGTTCAGGTGTGCGTAGCAGGAGATGCAGCCCTAAGCAAAGCCTACAAATATCTTGTTCTGTAGTTTACCATGCAGATCTTAAACTTGTCACTTAAAGATGGTTGCTTCTTGTTGGAATCTAGGAAAAAGAAAACTTCAAGATACTTTTCAAATAAAGAGACTTAAGCTTTTTTTCAGGTTGAAATGTGTCAACAGAAGTAAGTTGCTGTTTGGATTTTTTTGGAGAGGAGCAGAGTGTGGAGGGACAAAGGAGGACTGGTTTGCCTCCACTGGAACCAGCTGTGGTTTGTTCGGCTTTCGTGCATTTGGATGGGAACTTTGAATTGAAATCCAAACTGGAACTAGCAGTTAATATTACAAACAAGCAGCATAATTTGACTAAACAAACTTTCAGATGGTCACAAGTAGGCTTTGGTGCTGAAGAGTGGGATTTTCATAACTGCGGAAGCAATTTGAGAACATGCTTGCACCCAAAGCCAGTAGGGTTGGGTTTTTTATTTTTTTGCTTTAAGGTTATGATGGTGATGATTCATACTTTAGCCTTAGCAGAAGAGTGGCTTGCATGTTGATTTAACATCTGAGAACGTCTAAGCAAGTCATTCTCCATTTTGCCAAAGAATTTATCTACAGAAAATTATCTTGGTTTGTTTTTTTTTTTTTTCCCTTTGTTTGTTAGGGTTTTTTTTGTCTTTGGTTTCTTGCCTTGGTATTGACTGACTATGCAGATAAGAACTTCCATGAGATCCTAGTCAGTCTTCTTTGTTCTTGGATTTGTGGATGTGGTTCCATGCTTTCAGGAGTGAGTTAGTATGATTTAGAGGTACAGTTGATGAGCAGTAGTTCACTAGTACGATACAATGTGCATTATGAAATTAAATGTACCAGAAAGATGATTTAAGCTATGTAGTTTAACTACATGCCTGTTTTTTCACTCTCTTCATTTCCTTGATTAGAGAATCTAATTTTTTCCTCCTGTTCTTAATAGAATACTTGGTTTCTAATATCAGAGATAAGGTCAATTGAAATATTTTTCCTCAATCACTTGCTGACTTATCTTAAATAACTTCATGAATTTATAACATTTTCAATTGTCTTGTGCCAAATCACATTTTTTTAATTTTTTTTAAAACAGCCACTTACAGGTCTGTAAAGCTTCAAAAATAACCACTGGAGTAACAGAAAAATTAAACCCATGAAAACCAACTTAGAATAAGAACTTTCCTCCTCCTGTTATTTATATTTATACATAAAATACCAGGAAATTCAGGGGGCATGTAGAATGAGTGTATTTCCTAATAACAAGCCATGCACTCGCATACCACACTTCTTTAAAGGTCTTGTGGTTGGGATCCCAGTGGTATTGATGGGAAACGTGCAAAGAATTTTTATAAGGTTGTTTGAATAGCTGAGGAACTTCTTTTGAAAGCAGTAGAGTGAACACTCCTGCTTCGGAGAAGAATGGTTCTGTGGATGCCCGAGCTGGTGATAATGAAGGATGGAGCTTCAAAGTTAAAGCCTACAATTATGCAATTATGCTCTAGAGGATTTAATGAAAACTTGATATTTAAAAAATACACTTTCTTGTAAGGTGGCACGCTTTTGCATATCTATTGTCAAGCAGAGTGGTGTCTTGGTAGCCATGGTTATATTCTAACGTGAGGACTTAAAAGGTCATTTGTAGGCTTGAAAGCACTAATATGTGACTATATTCATTGTAGAAAGGGAGAGGTGATGTTATACCATGTTCAGATGCCAAGCTGGAGCATAGTGCTGTGGTGGTGTTTGACAGCAGACACTCTGTTTTCTCTTGCAGTTTGGGGCAGAGTTCAGAAGGTTCTCCCTGGATCGCTACAAGCCAGGAAAGTTTGAAGACTTCTACAAACTAATTCTTCACATTCATCACATAGCCAACCTGGAAGTGATGATCGGATATGCTGATGTGCATGGAGACCTTCTCCCTATTAATAACGATGACAACTTCTTCAAAGCCGTTTCAAGTGCTCATCCACTCCTCAGGGTTTTTATACAAAGACAAGGTAAGATGCACTTTCATTTTGGTGCCTCAGAGTGTGCTGGGGCAAGGTAAAGAGTGGATTTGTGGCCCCCGTTTAAAGGCTGAAACGATGTAAGAGGGACCTAGGAGCCCTCTTGCTCCTCCTCTCAGGCACTTCATTACAACTTCAAGGCCAGGTTGGATGGGGCTCTGAGCAACCTGATCTACTTAAAGGTGTCCCTGCTTACTGCAGAGTGGTTGGGCTAGATGACCTCTAAAGGTCCCTTCCAACCCAAAACATTCTGTGATTCTAACTTGCAGGAGTGGCATGACTTCAGGGCAGGTAGAGAGGGACTGTGCTGCTGCCTGTAAGGTGGTTGAAGGATAGTGTGCTGAGAATCACCACCAGCCCCTTCTTTTCCGAGGAGAGCATATCTTGTGCTGTTGGTCTTGTGTCATCACTTGGGCAGGCCAGCTGCACCTCTCCACTTGTTCGAGGGAGCTGTGAGGAGAGGATCCTTGTGTTGTACTACTGCTTCACATTTAGAAATCTTATCTATCCATCTTGATAGTGTCATACCCAAATGATTCATGGCTGTATAGTGTGTGAATGCTCACAGACATGTAGTTATTTTTAAAAAAAAAAAAAAAGTTCTGTCACAAATGAGGTGGTGTTTGACTGTTGACCTGGCAGACAGACAAATGATGATTCTCCCCTCTGTCCTTACTCTAAAGGGTGTTGAACCTTCCCACTTGAATCATCAAGCAAACCTTGGGCAGAATTGCCCAAATGTTAAGATGACTTCAAGTTTAAGTGGTTGTATGTTGTTCTTGTCAAGCTATTACTGCAGATACCTGAAACCTTCTCCTAAAAGACTGTGTTTGACAGTCGCTTCAGATGAGGATTCATTTTTTAACAAGGTATCTCCCCCACAGCGCTCCTCAAATCCCAGGGGAACCTAACACTCTGTTAACACTACCTCCACAGTTTTTTCAGTCATGTAGTGATTTATAGCACAGGGCTTTTGGAATTAAAATCTTGTCGGTAACAGAGTCAGAAATGAGACTTGATCTAAGACTCTGAGCAGTCATGTAGCTTTTTTGGCCTGGACTCTTTACTGTGTGGGCGTTTGTACTGATGAGGATTTAGCAGGAAGCTCTAGCCTGCTTGCTGGTATGAGCTGGTACAGTGTGAGGTTTGATTCGGTGTTGTTGGATACATCCAGGGCTGCATGGTCCTCCCCATTCAGAGCATGTTGTCTGCTGCCTTCTTTTAAATGGGAGTAAGTGTTCAAGGAGGCAATGGAGAAGAGGGTCTAGAGCAGTTTGTTCTGTCTGTGTGTCTGTCAGATGAGTGGCAATGTCTGTGGGAGGGGACTTGGGTTGCTAGCTCTCCCTTCTTGTGCAGAAAATTCAAAGGTAGATGACAAGTCCTATTAAGTCTCCTTCCTGCAATGCCTGTTAGGGCTTGTGGATGTTCGTGGTGGGTCAGCTCATGAGAAATCGCTTGCATGACTTTGTCATGCCTGCATCAGTTCGAGTTTATTCATGTCTCTGGATCAATCCTGTTCAAAGTGCAGCTGTCCTTGCCCTGCTTGGGCAGACTGCTAAAGCCACTGAGTATCCCTAACTGTGTTGGGAGGGGGTTTGCCACCAAAATGCTGATCACAGAAGTCGGCAAATGAGAGAAAAAGGTTGACTACATGTGGAAAAAATGCTGCCTCCTCTTCTTCAGTGGGAGAAGTATGCTAATTGTGGAGGTTTATAACTTGTAACGTTAATGGAAAAGTGCAGTATTTCCTTTTTAAACAGCTTTTCTTTTACCTGTTGCTCAGTGGAAAGAATTGTACTGACAAGTAAGGAAGCTCATACAAGAGGGAAGATGGGCCCATGCCTCCTCACCTGTGACAAAGCCTGAAAGCTTTCCCAACACACGTTCTCCTGCACTTCCTCTGTAAAGCTGAAAAGAACAGTAAATACTGGCCCATCCCTTTGATTAATGGCACTTTTTGTAAGGGACTCCTGGGGGTTAACATTTGAGATTCATACTTGTGAATACTCACGAACAATCATGCCCATTTCCTTTTCTGAGAAGAAGCCTTTAGAAATTGTTCCCTTCAACAATAATAGCTACTGAAATCTTGTTTGTCTACTTTTTTTTTTCCTCTATCATACCCCTGCTGTTTTTCCCTGTCTTCAGACTGGGGTGATGGAGCAATGCTGATCCTTCTGCTGGGGACCTGCACTAGAGAACAAGGTGACTAGCACCAAGAAATTGTTGTGCCATCCAGGGGCATGCGATCTGCCTGTGGTGCTTCAGCTCACACCCTAAACTCTGACTTCAGAGGGAGGAAACTAAGCTGACAGGGATGCTAATAAAATACAAAGCCAGTCCTCTCCTGTGACTTTGAAGGAGACTGCAGAGTGTGGGCTCTCTAGCCTGTTGGGTCAGGGATCGCTGCCCTTCAGTGGGAGAAGTCCTGGGAGGTGGCTGCCAAAGGTTGTTCTCACGGTGTTGTAGAGCAGGGAGGGTTTGAGAGGACTAGGCGGAAGCATGCAGGCATGGAAGGACTGAATAGTTGAAGTTCAGGTCTTTTTTCTAGCAGAGCAAACTGTTTATCAAATGGATGATTAGTCATCTTATCTGTTTTTCCAGTTTATAGCTGGGTTGTCCTTTCTCTTTGTCAAGTGAATTATACAATCATGTTGAAACAGCTTAACTATTTGTTCCCAAAGTGACAAAATAGGTAACTTTACTCTTTGCACAATAATCAAGCAACAGTTTGCTAGTTTGCTTTTTGTTTGCCTGGTTGTTTTTTATCTGAGCTTAGTCTTGCACTTTTTCACTTTAAAAGTGCTTCCCTTGCTTGTCCCTGGACGCAAGCCACGTACGCACTGCTTGGACTCTTACAAGCCAGGTTGGTGTCCAGATATGGGACGGCTGGTTTATTCCACTTTCCTCCTTTTTGTTCAAGTCTCCTGAGTCCCAAATTTTTCGGGATCACAGTAGCTGAGGACCTGAATTGCCGTTCCCACTGTGCTCGCAACAATTACTGTTCATACTTTTGGGGGTCTTGAAGGCTCTGGGATGTTTGCAGGTTATGTTTGAGTAAACTTGGCTATGACAAGTTTTTATAGCTCCTAGTGATCCATCTGCCAAAAGTATGTGGTGCTCTTCTTTTTTTTTTTTTTTTTTTTTTCCCCCCAATACCAAATTACAGTGCAGACAAAAATCCTAATTAGAGAACCAGGCTATAAAAAGAAAAGGCAGTTTTCTTTTGACTTGCTTTCCCAGGCTGCAAGTACGGGTCATGTCCTGTGTTGTAAATTGATGTGGCTCTTTTGACTTCACTAGCATAGCAGTGATTTATATTAGCTGATGCTCTGAGCCCAAGAATTTGTTCACTTGGCTGTCACTAATACCGGGCATACCCAGAACTCTCTGTGGAAGGTGCTTGCTGCTGGGGAAGGGGCAGATGTCCCAAAGACCTTAGAACAATGCAAGGAATTATAGATGTGTTTGACTTGCTCCATAACCACTGAACTCTTGTACTCTAGCCAAGACCTGCATGAAGGAAGAGCTTATCTGATGATGCAGTTGGTCATCTTCCCCCCCCCCCCCCCCCCCCCCCTATTCCTCTCCGCGTCTGATTTAAACTACAGCACTTGAGAGAGTCTTTTGAATATTGCAAAGATATTTAAGTGTAAGCCATGAATTCAAGCAGAAACAACAGAAAACTGAAAGGAGTTAGTATTACGTACAGTGAATGCATTAGATTTTTCCTTGTATGATTAAATGGAATGATGTTGTTATTGAATCTTGCTTTAATGCCAATCTCCCAGCGGCAGAGTACGTGTTCAAACCAGGCTGTATTAAAGGCTCTTAAATAGAATGGAATTAAATAGCAGGATTAGAATGACTTCTTGCTTGTAAACCTGCCTGAAACAACCGCTTGAAATTTGCAGGTGGGGCGTAAGGATGTAAGGGGAGGACTGCCAGGTAACAGAGATTTCAAGATTTCTCTTCTTTTGCTTGGGCTACCTGCTATGATGTGTTTAACCTAGGAAGTTCAGACACTTAGGGAAGTGTTGCAAAACAAGCGTGATGATCAGCCTGTAAGTACTCTGTGCAGCACTTTTTTCCAAGAAAAAGAGGACCAGGACCAACGGCAGTGTTAACAGTTGGACTTGATTATCTTAAAGGTCTTTTCCAACCTAAACAATTCTATGATGCTGTGATTCTAAGTACAGCAAGCATAGTGAATGGAGTGATATTTGTCATATCACTTTAAATCCAGACCAGTGACTCTGATTCAGGGAGAAGCGATGGAGGCTGCTGATGACCAGGCCTTCACTTCCTAGCACTCTTTAGGGTTTAGAGAGTAATGGGCAGTAACAGAAAATCTGCTGTAGCTCAGATACCAAAGGAGAGAAGTGGTGAGCAGCCTGTCAGGCCTCATCTTGATCCCAGACTGAGGTCAAATGAACTCTTCTCCTGGGAATCTTTTTTGTTTTGTCCCCATCACAACTGGAGGTGTGTCCTGATGGTGGCTTGAGGTTTTGGACCTCTGCTTGCTTTGCCTGAATTTCAGCAAGTGGCTTTGTTCCTATAAATCTGTAGTGTTGATAAAAATGTATCCCTCAGCAGGACCATTCTGAAGGAAAACTTGGAGGAGTTGGGGTTTGAAGAAATAACAAACTTACTTAAATATTCAGGCAGTCTTGACAAGACGCAGAGCGTGTTAGTAGGGCAAGAGACAGGTAAAATGCTGGAGTGTCAGATGCTGAATCTGTGTTTCAACGTATCTTTGTCAAATATCACACTTCTTGCAGGAACGTAAAAGGCAAAGAAGCTGAAGAGCATTCTAACAGCAAATGCTCTCTACAGCTAACTGGAACAGGCCCTTACATAATAATTTAGCAGATGCCACAGATTAACTGCAGCTGTTAATTGAGGTGGCCTGAAGTTGGAGAAGGCTGATGTCTTCTCAAACCTGTATTGTCTTGCATTTTGTGGTCTGGAAAACTGATAGTGTGTAAAAA